CAGCTCCACAGTAAAGCATCACCATCTACACCTACACCAGTATTAGGACACAGCAAATTAACTAACTGCACTGTAAGATAAGACTGTTGGGGTCAGTACTATTTTATGGCAGAGTACTTAACTGCCAAAACACATGTGCAGATGGTGAAAGGCATTGGCTGAGATACAAGGGTGCTAAAGTGCTGGGGCTGCCTGCCACCTAGCCCTGCTCTTTAGCACCCTTGTGCCACAGCCAGCACCTCCACTACCTGATACTGCTACGCATAGCCCAGGGCTGACTCCCCAGACCCTCTGCCAGCCCAGGGTTGCTCCACCCCAGCTCAAACTACTGTGCTCCCAGGCACACATGTAAATGTACTGCATATGTGTAAATATGGCAACACTTGGGTCACAGTGATCAGCATCTTTATATCAGATACTGCTCTTTGCTTTTCAGCTTGATTTTTATATGCCAGGTCACCATGAAGATATTTATCTTACAGAATGACAAAATGCACTTCCTAAGTGCCCCTTTCACTGATCCAGTATCTGACTTGTTAGTTCAACATTGACTTTCACGTAAGTAAACACCTGTCCTAAATAGCTACATGGATGGTGTTTTTCAGCACAACAGCTGTCTATATCACTTTGCTATTTTGGTGCATATGATCATATAATTAATGTGCATTTTCATGTAATGCTGTTGATTTGGATAAGTAAATAAGAATACTAGGGCTGTTTCACTTTCTACTTCAGTATTAGACTAAGGCTAGAAATAGACATCACAAAATGAAGCAGATAAGCCAGGGCAAAATATGGCCTGCATGCTGCATCTGGCCCACCACACCATTCTATCCAGCCTGCAGGGCCCCTAAGAAATTTAGAAAATTTATACTTATCTGTTCCTGGCTGCCTGTCAAAGATGCCAGGAGACAGGGGTAGTAGGACCCAGGCAAAGCTGACAGGACTCAGAAGCAAGGCCAGCCCAGCCCCCTCCCACACCCACTTCCCCAACCAGAAGCCTCTTTCTGCCACAGCTTTCACTGCTTCCCTGCATGCCTGCCGGCTGCTCCAGCACCACGTGACTCCTGGCTGCATCACTGGACCGTGGGAGCTTGAGGCCCACACCAGTACCCCAGAACTAGAAGCAGGAGGGGGGGTATGTACATGTGTGTACACATGTGTCTGCCCCTGCAATGAGGGAGGGGGAGAGACAAAGAGAGCAATGAGGGACAGGGAGAGAGAGAGAGTGTATAGGTGTGTACACGCATGCAATAAGGGTTGGGTTACCATATTTCCAGCATCAAAAAATAGGACACCTGGGGGGGAGGGG